TTCAACTTTAGAGCTGTAGATTTTGTCCATTACTTATAGCATTAGAATAGCTTTAAGAAAGGATCACCATGCTGCCATTATGTACAAGAAGAATAATTGAAAAAATTAAATAAATAAATGTGTGAACCTATCCGTTGAGTTCACTTGTTGTGCTGCATCCATCATGATGAATCTGACATGAAAACATCACAAATGAATGACTGTAGTGTGAAGTACAGACAATTATACAAGGTCAAATAAAATTCTCAGAGCCATGTAAGCCTAAACAACAACTACCTGATATACACAGCTGCAGATAATAGTCTCATATAAATGTGTAAAACAGATGCTGATACTGGTTTTGGTTAAGGAAGCTGTGTTAGAAACAAAGCTTACATTGTATTAAACCTTACCTGTCCCGGTCACAATGTTGCAGGTCTGTGAGAGACTGGTTCAGAAGGTCATCCAGGTCAAAGCCCACGCCATACCCAGCACCACTGCCTTTAGGGGTGACTGAGAACACGGGAGGTAAAACGTCCTCTACCTGACACGAGAAAAGGGAAACATTGGGTCAACTGAACTTTGTATCCTTAAGATCAGTTCAAGGCAAACAGAATAATTTGACATTTAGGATTATTTTTAGTATTTTTTTTGTACATATAAAGCTATATGTACAAAAAAATAATGTTTCTGTATAGTTCCTATAATGGAAGCAACATTAGTGTTATGTAAATAGATACAGCTTCTCTAAGGTAAAATGCTACCTGCAAAAAGCAATAAAATCTTTAACAAGGAAGGCACAACGCAGCAGAAGAAACCTGAGACACACCTGGGACTTAGAGAGCTGCAGTGTCACTGTATGGATGTCAGGGGCAATGGAGGGCCCTTGCTGTCCAGTATCTGTGAATCCTAAGCTGGGATGAGGCTGTGAGGGGACCCCTAAAGCCCCGCACAGAGGATTTGTGGTCTGTGGCCCGGATTTCTCTCCTACAGAGGGACACAGCTTCTCCATCGGACCAGCGCTTGCAGTTGAAGGGTTAGGGTGGGAGTTGAGGTTATTTTGACCTCCGATATCCACGTTCCCATTTGTCTCTCTGGTGGTTAGAGTCGGAGCTTTATTCAAAAAACTCTCAAGAGGAAGCAGCTGCGCCTGAGGCTGAGGATCAGGCTGGGTTTGAGGTTGGAGCTGGGGCTGAAGAAAGCTCGAAGGTGGAGGTTGCAGTTTCCTGTTTGGTTGTGGTTGTTGCTGTGGCCTCGTCTCTAGTTGCTGCCCGCTCCAGTTGCCCAAACAGTTGAAACCACTTTGCCCATTGCTCTCGCTGTGAGGTTTGAGCGTGTTGTTCTTAACAAAGCCACCAGTGACAGTCATTATATCTATCCCTCCACTTACAGCAACAACTATATCCGCTGGAGGCTTCCTCTGGCTCATTGAGAAAAGTAACGGAGGTTGCTGGGTGCTGGGAGGCTGGAAAATGCCCTGCTGGTTAGGTTTAACTTGAGAGATTAACTGTTCGTGAGACTGAATCTTACTTGCCTCCTTCTCTGTTTTATTGTTCAGTGCTCCTTGAGCGTTCTCACCGATGGCTACGCCCCGGTGTGAGTTCACATTGCAGTCCTTATTATTTGCTCCATCGTTATTAGGAATCTGAGTTTTCTCATTGCGTCTGTCCATCATCTTTGTCCAACGCTGCAAAAGGCTTTTGTCGTTGTCACTCAGCAGAACCCCACCCAGCAAGTCCCCCTGCTTTCCCTCTCTTCTCTCCTTTTCCTTCATTTTCCTCTCCTTCTCTCTTGCCCGTTCCTGCCTCTTCCTTCGTTTCTCCTCTCTTTCTCGTTGACGCTCCTGTGCTGTGACAGGCCGACGCGACTCTGGAACAGAAGACAGCGAGGATGGTACACCTCCTCCTGCACCAGCATCAATGCCCAGAGCGGAAGTCCCTCCATCTGCAATGAAGATATCAAATTCAGACATCGGTGGTCTAAAGAAAGACATGTCAGTGATATAAGTAGATATGGAAAACAATAAACTCACCACCCCTGGCTTTATTTCTGAGAGCTGATTTCAACAAAGCTGCTTTAAGTGCCGCTTTAGTATCCTCTGAAATAGCGCCTTCTTTCCTGGTTCCTTCTGCTGCACCTGGAGGAGGCCTGGCATTCTTGGACAGGGACTGTGAAAGGGACTGAGACAGTGACTGGGCCTGTGCCACAGAGAGAGAAAGGGAAGGCACAGTGGTGGGTAGGGGTGTCATGGTCTGTGCTGGCGTTGCAGGAATGGAGGTGGGAGCCTGGGTCATGGACTGGCTCTCGGTGGACTGAGTCAGAGGATTCTGACTGCTGGTTAGCTGCTCTTGTATCTCACTGTCTCTCATAGTTTCTGATTGAGTGTCCTGACTAGACACTGGTGTCGTTAAATCTATAGTCTCTGGCTGACCGCTGTCCGAGTTGGCACTTGGCATGTCCACATCAACTGGTCCGCTTTCGCTTTTAGAGAGCAGAGACAAATTATGGGTCACGTGAGGCGGGACAACTTCTAAAAGGGATGCAGGCTTATTAAAGGTTTGCATCTGATTTGTAAATGTGTGGTTCACTTCTGCTGGTGTGTTGTCTTGTTGCTGCTGAGATTTCACTTGTGCTGCTTGTGGGTGTTGTGCCATTGGAACCAGTGTTGACTTACTCAGGTTAACAGTTGAGGGCTGAGCATTACACTGGTGACTGCTTTGTGCTGCAGCTCTACCGTTCGCCCTCGCCAAGGGCCTGAACTGCAGTCTTTGACGGCAGGTCTGTTTATTTTGATGAAAGTCCTGGATCTCCATCAGAATCGCCTCTTTAATTTGTTCCTTGTTCATTGGAAGCTTGTCAAATTCAAAGTCAAAAGCTGGCACGCAAATTGGCTCATCGTCTGCGTCGTGGTACTTGGCCAGGTAAGGATGCTCTAGCGCTTGCGTCACACTGATTCTCTCACGAGGGTCAAAGCGCAACATGGCCGCCAGCAGGTCCACAGCCTCTGGTTCAGCTTGTGGGTAAAGTTTAGCCAAAGGCACAGCAGACCGTGACGGAAGACTCTGAACATAGGAGCGTACTCGGTCAGCCCTAATAGCACCAATCAACCCCTCAGGAGGCGTGCCTAACACAGACAAAATGAGCTGGAGCTGGTGGACGTAGTGCTTCCCAGGAAAAAGCTGCTTACGGCCCAACATCTCGGCAAAGATGCAGCCAACAGACCACAAGTCAATGGCCAAACTATAGTGATTCAGAGACAGCAGGAGTTCAGGAGCACGGTACCATCGAGTCGCCACATATTCAGTCATGAAGGAATGGGATTCCTCAGGGTGTGAACTTAGACCCCTCGCCATGCCGAAGTCACCAATTTTTAACTCACAGTTCTCGTTCACCAGCAGGTTGGAGGGTTTGAGGTCACGGTGGATGACGTTGGCAGAGTGCACGTACTTAAGGCCACGGAGGAGCTGGTACAGAAAGTAGCGGGTGTGCTCTGAGGTGAGTGTCTGGGCGGAGTGTATGATCTGGTGCAAGTCACTCTCCATGAGGTCCAGCACCACATACCTGCACACATGGGGAATGGGAAAGTGAGATGTGTGTGTAACATCTATTGAGCCATAAAGTATATCTTCATAAATATCTACAACTTAAAGATTATGTCTCGCAGGCACAAAAACAATTGCCACTGATATATAAACTAATATTTTAGGGATTTGTTTTAGTCACCTTTGTAATTGGCCATGTTTTCAATTCCCAAAATGCCTAGTTTTCAAAAGTCAACATTTTCAGTAGGTTCTTATTATTAATAAATAAAACTGAATGCTTGTGATGGGTGAAAAACACAACTAGTCAAATATTTTTATATATATGTATGTGAAAATTGTTACCCAGTGACAACATGTGACTCGATGGAATGTTTAGACGTGTGTAAATTAATTGACTAAAGTTAAAAATGCAACTTATGTGAAATTATTGTAAAGATATTTACTTTATCAATAAACTTACAGAGTTCTATATACCTTTCTTGTCAGAGGAGTAACCTTGTGAATTTGTTGTTTTTCACCAAAGTTGCAATGAAAATAAAAAGTACATACACAGACTTGAAGGCAGAGTGAGGAAGGTTAGGCTGCAGGATGTCTTTGATGGCGATAATGTTGTCATGTTTGAAGTGCTTGAGAATCTTCAGCTCTCGCAAGGTGCGTTTGGCGTTTGTCACCACCTCAAATGCATTGGAGATCTTCTTTATCGCCACCTGTTGGCCTGTGAAATTTAAATAAGCCCCAATGAAAAAGATGTTAAACTGAGTTTAAATGACAATGTTAACTGACAATTAATTTCCATATTTATTTGTTAAGCATTGGAGTACACACAGAATGAGTTATGTGTTATTATTTCATCAAATACCATTGTCCCGTCTCCTGGCAGATGAAACAACGCCATAGGCCCCTGTGCCTATGGTTTCTATAACATCATACTCCTCTCCGACGTCGAACTTCACGTCCAGAGAGTGCGCTTTTAGCAAAGCCAAGTTTTTTGCTATTGTGCTGGTGTCTGCGGTGCCTTCCGTTGCCTCAACGCCACGCTGGTTCTGGTTCTCTCTGCTTTTGTCAGTGGCCATTCTTTCAGGGGACATGGCCACAGGTTGACCATTTTTACATTCTCCACCCTCCTTAGTTGACATTTTTCTGTAAAGAATAAAAAATAGCAAAGTGAGAGGTAGTCAGTGACATAATCTTAAAGGTCCGCAATGCCAAGGACATAAAGTACTGCTTGTTTTCTACAACTACAGTCACATCAGCATGTACAGTATATCAGTACACTATTGACACATTTGGCCTGTTTTGTGAATTAATACAATTTGGGCTGGTTGATATTGTCGAAATCATTATCACAATATTATTATGAATATTTTCCCTTATTGATCACAACTTTGCAAATCAAACCGAAGTTCAAAGCAATGACACCATTATGCATTATATCAGACAAAACTCTTTGTATGTGTAAGACATTAAACTCCACAGAAGAGTGCCCTCTCACTGTCAGAGCCCCGGGCCCCCGGCCCCCAGGAGCCCCACTTGACAAAAGGTCAGTCATTTAGGTACAGCACTGACTGAACACCTTCACAGGATTTAAGATGATTTGACAACTTTTCAGTCGTAATGTTGACAACACAGAGAGATTTTATGTTTGGATCAACTGATTGTAAAGATTACATTAACCTGACTTCACACACTCACACACACACTCACACACTCTCACACACACACACACACACACACACTCTCTCTCTCTCTTCTCTCTCACACACACACACACACA